AAACTCAACACTTGTTGACGGTAGAGGCTTACATTGAGATGACGTTATATCAAGGTGGCCACGACCTCACATTAACACATTGAAAACTTACGAAATTGTAAAGATGGTGCCACCAACTAGCAGTGTACCCATGTACTGACACATGTGTTAACAGTGCTTGAGTCTAGACTATAGGGAAGGAAGAGACTGGCTTCTGATAGCTCTCATATTTACTAAGCTGTGGGAGAGACACTCATATTACCCAAGGTGTGGGAAAACTGCTCCCATCACTCTTGGGTTGGGAGAGACCTTCCCATCACCATGGGTGTGGAGATACAACAAAAGAGAAATGAGAGAGGTAAAGGAAGCAGTAGTGTAAATTAATGAGGAAGAAAGCACCTATCATGGGAGTAACTCGACAAGGGTTAGGAGTCGTGGAGGATACCTAGAGGGAACAGGTAGCCGTGACCACCCCTTCCCCTCTCTTGATCCTCTCCCTCTCTTAATCTTTTTCACCCTTCACCACTCTGCAGAATACATTCCCATTTCTATCCATTTCACATATGCTACAAACCTCCCTTTCCACTTCCCACTCATTACCACTCTACCTTTCCCCTTGATCGCTCTCCATCAACCTTCCTCCGCTGTCCCCAACCCCACCCTGCTCCAGTAATGTTCCTTTCTTTCCCCAGCATTACACCAATCTCTCTCTTCCCCTCAAGCAGTACCCTTCTTGATCCTCTCCTACAATGAGCTGTTGACATCCCCTGCTCCCAACTACCTTGTCTCACCTCATATGCTCCATCCCTCTATCAACTTCTTACGGTCCCACATCTTCCCTCTCATCTTATGACCCACCCTCTCTATGTACCACTCCCACCTCCCTCTACTTCCCTCTCCTATTTTTCCCACTTAACCCGACAAAACTTTATGGGGAATCCTCGCTGCTGTCTCCCGAAGTGAAACAGAAAACATTGCGTGACAAACAGTGAGAAATAGAAGACTGGTAGGGTATTGTTTTAAAGCTAATAGAGTCACCAGAGAAGTGAAGCTCTGAAAGAAAGAGTAAGAAAAGGAAAACCCTGATATCATAGCCTTCATGGAAACGAAACTCAGAAAAGTATTAAGTATTTCCAGAGGTGTGGTAAAGATGCAGAAATCACAAACAGACGATGGTGGTGGAAATCTTTAGAATGGAGATTTCAATCCCTGTGTGGCTTGTTCTTCATGAATTAAATATAAAGTGAAGTAGGAAGAGGCGTAGCATTGATGAGAAACTACTAGGATTTAAAAGACTGTATAGCAGGTAAAGTAATGTTTGAAGAGACAAGGGTAAGGAGGGGCAGTAGTATATACTCTCTTCTCCTCGCCATCCCCACCAAACATTAGAACATCAAGTGAGGATTATAATGACAAGAACGGGGCAGTGATTCATGTACTGTATTGGAAGCATCAGTAGAGAGAGCAGGGCCATTATAACCTAAACTACGGATACTAGAAGATTTCAGTCATAAGAATATTGACTGGAAGAACTGGGGCCCCTCAGGGATACTGGAAACATGGAGACCAAAACTGGAGGAATTAACGGTGTATTAATATTTGAGTTAAGAGGAAACAAGACTTAGAAGAGAGATGAATCGACAAGACTTAAACTTGTTTTCACGCTATATCTAACAGGTGAAATCTACGGGACCCGCTGAGTGCCATCCATCACACGTTACTACTGATGTAGCAATAAAGGTCAAAACTGTAGCTAAGTTACTCCACACTCACGTAACAAGGTAGTTACCTGTACAGTACCAGGTTCACTTCTTCATACACCAGGTGGTGGTGTATCAACACCCCCCTTCCTCCCACACACCAGGTGGTGGTGTATCAACACCCCCTTCCCATCCACACCCAGGTGGTGGTGTTTTCAACACCCCCCTTCCCTCCACACACCAGGTGGTGGTGTATCAACACCCCCCTTCCCTCCACACACCAGGTGGTGGTGTATCAACACCCCCCTCCCTCCACACACCAGGTGGTGGTGTATCAACACCCCCCTCCCTCCACACACCAGGTGGTGGTGTATCAACACCCCCCTTCCCTCCACACACCAGGTGGTGGTGTTCAAACACCCCCTCCCTCCACACACCAGGTGGTGGTGTATCAACACCCCCCTCCCTCCACACACCAGGTGGTGGTGTTATCAACACCCCCCTCCCTCCACACACCAGGTGGTGGTGTTCAACACCCCCCTCCTCCACACACCAGGTGGTGGTGTTCAACACCCCCTCCCTTCACACACCAGGTGGTGGTGTATCAACACCCCCCTCCCACCACACACCAGGTGGTGGTGTTCAACACCCCCCTCCCTCCACACACCAGGTGGTGGTGTATCAACACCCCCTCCCTCCACACACCAGGTGGTGGTGTATCAACACCCCCCTCCCTCCACACACCAGGTGGTGGTGTATCAACACCCCCCTCCCTCCCACACCAGGTGGTGGTGTATCAACACCCCCCCCCTCCACACACCAGGTGGTGGTGTTCAACACCCCCCTCCCTCTCACACACCAGGTGGTGGTGTATCAAACACCCCCCTCCCCCCACACACCAGGTGGTGGTGTATCAACACCCCCCTCCCTCCACACACCAGGTGGTGGTGTATCAACACCCCCCTCCCTCCACACACCAGGTGGTGGTGTTCAACACCCCCCTCCCTCCACACACCAGTGGTGGTGTTCAACACCCCCCTCCCCTCCACACACCAGGTGGTGGTGTATCAACACCCCCCTCCCTCCACACACCAGGTGGTGGTGTTCAACACCCCCCTCCCTCCACACACCAGGTGGTGTGTTCAACACCCCCCTCCCTCCACACACCAGGTGGTGGTGTATCAACACCCCCTCCCTCCACACACCAGGTGGGGGTGTTCAACACCCCCTCCCTCCCACACCAGGTGGTGGTGTATCAAAAACCCCCCTCCCTCCACACACCAGGTGGTGGTGTCAACACCCCCCCTCCCTCCACACACCAGGTGGTGTGTCAACACCCCCCTCCCTCCACACACCAGGTGGTGTTTCAATACCCCCTCCCTCCACACACCAGGTGGTGGTGTTCAACACCCCCAGTGGTGGTGTTCAACACCCCCCAGGGTGGTGTTCAACCCCCAGGTGTGTTTCAACACCCCCCTCCCTCCACACCCAGGTGGTGTTCAACACCCCCCTCCCTCCACACACAAGGTGGTGGTGTATCAAACACCCCCCTCCCTCCACACACAAGGTGGTGGTGTATCAACACCCCCCTCCCTCCACACACCAGGTGGTGGGGGTATCAACACCCCCTCCTCACACACCAGGTGGTGGTTTTTCAATACCCCCCTCCCTCCACACACCAGGTGGTGTGTATCAACACCCCCCTCCCTCCACACACCAGGTGGTGGTGTATCAACACCCCCCTCCCTCCACAACACCAGGTGGTGGTGTTCAACACCCCCCAGGTGGTGGTGTTCAACACCCCCCTCCCCACACACAGTTGGTTTCCTACCCTCCCTCCACACACCAGGTGGTGGTTCAACACCCCCTCCCTCCACACACCAGGTGGTGGTGTTCAACACCCCCAGTGGGTTCAACACCCCCTTTCCTCCACACACCAGGTGGTGTTTCAACACCCCCTCCCTCCACACACAAGGTGGTGTTCAACACCCCCTCCCTCCACACACCAGGTGGTGGTGTTCAACACCCCCCTCCCTCCACACACCAGGTGGTGTTCAACACCCCCTCCCTCCACACACCAGGTGGTGGTGTTCAACACCCCCTCCCTCCACACATCAGGTAGTGGTGTTCAACACCATCTCCCTCACACACCAGGTGGTGTTCAACACCCCCTCCCTCCACACACCAGGTGGTGGTGTTCAACACCACCTCCCTCCACACACCAGGTAGTGGTGTTCAACACCCCCTCCCTCACACACCAGGTGGTGTTCAACACCCCCTCCCACTATACACCAGGTGGTGGTGTTCAACACCCCCTCCCTCCACACACCAGGTAGTGGTGTTCAACACCCCCTCCCTCACACACCAGGTGGTGTTCAACACCCCCTCCCTCACACACCAGGTGGTGGTGTTCAACACCCCCTCCCTCCACACACCAGGTGGTGTTCAACACCCCCTCCCTCCACACACCAGGTGGTGTTCAACACCCCCTCCCTCCACACACCAGGTGGTGTTCAACACCCCCTCCCTCCATATACCAGGTGGTGTTCAACACCCCCTCCCTCCACACATCAGGTAGTGGTGTTCAACACCCCCTCCCTCACACACCAGGTGGTGTTCAACACCCCCTCCCTCCACACACCAGGTGGTGTTCAACACCCCCTCCCTCCACACACCAGGTGGTGTTCAACACCCCCTCCCTCCACACACCAGGTGGTGTTCAACACCCCCTCCCTCCATATACCAGGTGGTGTTCAACACCCCCTCCCTCTATACACCAGGTGGTGGTGTTCAACACCCCCCTCCTCCCTCCACACACGCGGAGCATTTCTAGCCTTGAGCATTGCCTCGGTTATGTGAGTCTGTAATTTTGTGAGCGATTTCGTGAGTTTTGCTAGAGGCTGATCCCTACATGGGGGGTCTGGCTTTCCTGGTGATCTCTCCAGTAGTGTCTGACTATCTCTGCTGGCGGCCGGCATGACTATCCTAGAGCTAGTAAAGTTGCTGTCATAAGGGAAGATATAATTGTGCTTCATAAAAATATTTTAGCCGGAGTCAGCTAACAGCTTTCAGTGGATCTTACAGTAGCGGTGGCAAGCGGTCACCCTGCGGTGTCGTGGGGCGGAGTCACAGGCCACTGGAGGCTGCTATTGGTTGGCGGCCAGTTACCAACCCACGCGGGTGAGGCGTGACCGAGGGCGGGGCGACTAGGGTTGACCACTTAGCATGGAGCTTTGGCACTGTGGGCGGGGCGAGACAGTGATGGGGCGGGGCGTGGAGGATAAGACAGGGTGGGAACACGGTGTGTGAGGGAGGTGATAGTGTTAGTCCCTGGGAACTGTTGTTGTGGTACGCAGGCGCTGCTCCACTCCACACCACCTAGCTACCAACCCGCGACCCTTGCTTCTAACACCAGTGAACATAGTGCACCTACAGTGAACTTAATGCACCTACAGTGAACTTAATGCACCTACAGTGAACTTAATGTACCTACAGTGAAGTCTAGACAATTATTAGTGTGTCGTGTGGATGGTAGTAGTAGTAGTGTAAGGAGCGTGATGATAGAGTAGTGAGTGGTGGTCGGAGATGGTACTAGACTGGACGGAACCTTCCCCCCACCACCTCAACACCAGCATGGCCTCACACCTCCAGTACTCAGAGGACCAGGTCAGTCTTTACTGCACGTTTTGCACTCTCTTGCTTCTCTCTCACTCATGTGATCACTCTCTTGCCTCTCACATTAGTGTGATCACTCTCTTGCCCCCTCTCACACTCATGTGATCACTTTCGTGCCTCTCTCACACTCATGTGATCACTCTCTTGCCCCCTCTCATACTCATGTGATCACTCTCTTGCCGCCTCTCACACTCATGTGATCACTGTCTTGCCGCTCCTGTGATCACTGTGTCTCAACACACGCGCTGTGATCATGCTGCTGTGGTGACTGTATCACACACTTCTGTGATAACTGCTGTGATGACTGTGTCACACTGTTGTGATGACTGTGTCACACTGTTGTGATGACTGTGTCACACTTGTGATGACTGTGTCACACTGTTGTGATGATTGTGTCACACTGCTGTGATGGCTGTGTCACACTGTTGTGATGACTGTCACACTGTTGTAATGGCTGTGTCGCACTGCTGTGATGGCTGTCACACTGCTGTGATGACTGTGCCACACTTGTGATGACTGTGTCACACTGTTGTGATTGTGTCACACTGTTGTGATGACTGTCTCACATTGCCGTGATGACTGTGTCACATTGCTATGATGACTGTGTCACACTGCTGTGATGACTGCCACACTGCTGTGATGACTGTGTCACACTGCTGTGATGACTGTCACACTGCTGTGATAACTGTGTCACACTGCTTTGATAACTGTCACACTGCTGTGATGACGGTGTCACACTACTGTGATGACTGTGTCACACTGCTGTGATGACTGTGTCACACTGCTGTGATGACGGTGTCACATTACTGTGATGGCTGTCACACTGCTATGATGACGGTGTCATACTGCTTTGATGACTGTGTCACACTGCTGTGATGACTGTGTCACAATGCTGTGATGATGGTGTCACACTGCTGTGATGACTGTCATACGTTCATCTGGAGAACCAAAGAGTGTTTCAAAAAAGCTGCCTCTGTTGCCAAGAGAAGTTTAGTGTCCTTCTCAACAGTGTCATGTATGAGTGTGCAGTAACCCAGGATAACCTAGGAAAGCCGCTCAATCTGGCTTATTTATAGCGCCCAGGATGTCACCCACAGCACCCAGGTAGCTTTTTACTAAGCGAACATGGGTAAAAGACAAGGATAACATGCCCAGCTTCTCCGCCCGCCCCATGATCGATGCTGGATCATTCGATTGTGTGCCAGGAGCCATCATTTGACTCTTTGATGCTGGCTGCGTGAGCTCTGTGTGTGTGTGTGTGTGTGTGTGTGTGTGTGTGTGTGTGAGAGAGAGAGAGAGGTTGAGCAACACAGGATGTAGGTAGCCGTCTCTAGTACCTAGCGTGGACGTCATGGTTACAAACATATCCTCATTGTTTACTTCTGTTACTTTCCTTTTTCCGGTAGAAGTGTGGGTGTGGGAGAGTGGTGGGCAGGGCTCTCACGTCTCTCTCAACACTCCCATGTCTGCGTAAACACTCCCACGTCTGCGTCAACACTCCCACTCCCATGTCTGTGGAAACACCCCTGCTCCCATGTTGCTCCCACGTCTGTGTAAACACTCCTGCTCCCATGTTGCTCCCACGTCTGTGTAAACACTCCTGCTCCCATGTTGCTCCCACGTCTGTGTAAACACCCCTGCTCCCACGTCTACGTAAACACCCCTGCTCCCATGTTGCTCCCATGTCTGCGTAAACACTCCCACGTCTGCGTCAACACTCCCACTCCCATGTCTGCGCAAACACCCCTTCTCCCATGTTGCTCCCACGTCTGTGTAAACACTCCTGCTCCCATGTTGCTCCCACGTCTGTGTAAACACCCCTGCTCCCACGTCTACGTAAACACCCGTGCTCCCATGTTGCTCCCACGTCTGTGTAAACACTCCTGCTCCCATGTTGCTCCCACGTCTGAGTGAACACTCCTGCTCCCATGTTGCTCCCACGTCTGAGTGAACACTCCCACTCGTATGACAGTGTGTTTTTCCCTGATCTTTGATGCTTTATCATTTACAGACGCCATTTTAACTAAATCTGGTTCCATGTGTGTGTGTGTGTGTGTGTGTGTGTGTGTGTGTGTGTGTGTGTGTGTGTGTGTGTGTGTGTGTGTGTGTGTGTGTGTTTTGATAAAAGAATATAAGGGCTTTAGCGGGAAAATCTTATGTTGTGTCTCGAAGTTGTTTAGCATTTTCGTTTACCGTCCGAATTTAATGTAACGAAATAATTATTAGTGCAGTTTTGTTAGGGACTCCACACTGGCAAATGTATCATCATTAATTAAAGATCAGGAAGTGGTGTAGCAGCAGCACCTTGTTGTACAACATACAGTGTGGACACTAGGAATGGAGGCTCTGGCTTGACTCTGACAAGACTTACTGATAATCTCTCTAACTTTATTATGTCTGACATTTTTGGGGGGATCCTGCACAGTTCTGATCATATAGGCCATACAGAATATGTTTGTAATAATGTTGGTAGAATTACCGACAATATGTTAGGTAAAAGGACACACGTGCAACTAATGTGACATTTTATTGTGACAACGTTTCGCTCTTCAGCTTTGTTAGGCCGGCTTGACAAAGCTCCTGGAGAGAGAAACTTTGCTGCAATAAAATGTCACATTAGTTGCACTTGTGTCCTTTTACCTAACAGCTTCCATTTTGTCGCACATACAAATATTATTTTGGCGGAGTCTTGTCCAGACGTGTTCCAGTCGCAAAAAAATGAACTATTTAGAAGTCACCAGACTATAGTACACTTACAGCTAAGAGGTGCACTCTTTTCTTTAGATATCTTGCACCCTCACCCATAGATGAAAAAAATCCAGAGTAGGGACTTACCAGCTGGATGGTTTGAGATCCACAGTTTCAGTTAGCCTTTTTGGTGTCCTTAACCCAGACTGGTGCCACTAGTATTGGTGGGGTCGTCCACCCCTTCTGTACTACATGTTCTGATAGAATTTGTTTCACCAGTTCATTGGGGGAGGCTAAGAAGACAGTTAAGACAGTCTGAGAGGTCACACACACATGACTAATCTGCAGAATCAGACTTAGTGTGGTTTTTACTCATTGTGATTTGTCCAGAGAAGATTTAGTATTTTTGTTTTGTACCTGACTTTAGAAGAGTGGCGTAGCGAGGGGCTAGCGAAAGATGGGAAGCGTCACAAAATGTAGGTTGTTGACATCTGGGGAAGAGACACGAGGCATCGTAGACATTTATGTTTTCCAATATTACATTCCAACATTTTAAAGTGGAAATTGGTTTCCCACTAAAATATTAGAGAGAGCTTTGTACACAAGCGGGGCGCCAGGCGAGCGCTGTCAGCCGCATCACTGACTATTTCGTGTTTTTTTAACCAGAGTTGGCGATCTTGCACTATAAAACAGCACTCACTACACCAAACAGGTTCGCTCTATGATCATTGTTGTAAAATCTCTGCGAAAATGAGTCTGAACATCGAAAAATTGTTTTCTGTTTATTTGAAGTTAAATAACGTTACCTGAAGTTTAGGCTGATCTGAGCTAAGCTGGATACCTAGAGTTTACCTGGAGAGAGTTCCGGGGGTCAACGCCCCCGCGGCCCGGTCTGTGACCAGGCCTCCTGGTGGATCAGAGCCTGATCAACCAGGTAGGATTAACCTAAATTATAGTACGTTAATTTTAGAAGTTAGGTGAGGTTGCTAAGTTAATTTTGGTGCAAAAAATTGTGTGCCACATTATGTGAAAAAAAAGATACACGCCCACACACACAAATATATATATGTGTGTGTACGATCCTAGGAAACACGTGATATCTTCATATGTAACATAACTACAGTGAAAACTAGCATTCTTCCAAGCACATTTTGTGATTACTTACATTATCAAGGAACAGCTGTTTCTTGATAATGTGAGATATTACAACAGTGCATGGAATAATACTGCTTTTCTCTGTGATTATATATATATATATATATATATATATATATATATATATATATATATATATATATATATATATATATATATATATATATATATATATAATGGTCCGGTGGTTTAGAGCGTTGTGAATTTTTCGCTTGCTATGACGCGGGCTAAAACACACGGTTCGATCTGCTACGAAGATTCAAGACATGAGGAGTTTAATAACATTATCAAGAGGAGCCTCACAACAGCCGGATGCCCAGCAGTAAGGGAGCCACCCCAGCTATGCAGATTGATGGCAGCCAGAAGCGTCCAGATAGTATCACCCTTCAAGCCTGGACAGACGGGAAGCAGGTGGTGTGGGACTATACATGTGCATCTACCTTGGCTGATACCTATCTCCAATACACCAGGGAGTAAGGAGGGGCAGCTGGCAGCTTCAGGGAGTCCCAAAAGTCTAGAAAATACGGAGAACTTGCCCACCATTATATGTTTGTTCCCATAGGCTCAGAGACCCTTGGCTCATAGAGAAAGAATGCATCTAAATTCCTTAAGGAGCTGGGAAAAAGACTCATCAGGGTAACTAGGGATCCCAGGGCAGCTAGTTTTCTGTTCCAGCGGCTCAGTGCGGCTGTCTCAAAGGGGTAATGCCTGCTGTATTTTGGGCACACGCCCCAGCTCTGAGGAGCTGGATGAGATTTTCGCCTTATAATCGGTGATACACACGTAACAACATGTACCGTATATGCCACCTTTATATCAACAATGTATCTCTTAAATCTTCTGTACCATATTATGTAATAAAATATTCCTATTGATAAAAAAAAATACTAAAAGATGGGGTGGTAGGGAGAGTGGAATATTTAGGTACATGTCAAGTACCTACCTGGAGTCTACCTGGAGGGCATTCCGGGGATCAACGTCCCCGCGGCCCGGTCCTTGACCAGGCCTCCTGATGAATCAGAGCCTGATGAACGAGGCTGTTACTGCTGGGCATCATGTCAAAGTACGAAGACCACAGTGCCGGTGATTATGGGCACGCGACTTTCAGGAGTATCTTGTACAGCTCCTCTTGAGAGGCAACAGGGCTC